ATGTTTAGAAAATAAACGTCTCAGTTTCTCTGATACTCCCTCAACATCTGGAATGACCACTGGTCTGGGTCTGGGTTCCTCCTTTTCAAGAGCGTAAAGTTGTGGACCGCAGCCATCCTCCTCAGCATTTAGTGCTCCTTTTCCACCACTCCTACTCAGCCCCAACTCTGCTCAGCTCACCACAGAAACATCACTATTCCACTAGTACTCTGAGCTGATTCGGCCCCTTGTTTCATCCCTGCTTCTCTGCTGGGACCGTTGGAGCTGAGTCGAGCTGACTCCGGACCAAAACGTGAATGCAGGTCACTGACTGGTCAGGGGGAGGAGTCACTGGGTCTCAGAAACTTTTCACCGATCAGCCATTTGCAATTTCTCAGAACTCGGAGCAGCGACTGGATCTATTTTTAATATTTTAAAACAATAATGACAACACCGTGTTTAACGCTGAAGTCCAGGTGTTCTTTGTGTTTGGTGACAGACGACAAAATTCGAGCGAGTGGAGTCACCGCGGAGGATCATACGAGCTGCCGACCTGTTGAAGCCCGCGAGGCCAGACCCCGAGCCCCGGCCCCGCGGGCTCACAAAGGCCGGATTCAGAGCCCTGGCAGGTGGGAGGACTGGGATGGAGGGTGGAAACTTTAAAAAAAAAACATTTTATGTATATCCCTGTGATGGACTGAGACCTGTCCAGGGTGTCCCCCACCCCTCGCACAGAGATTGCTGGACAAGGGCACCGGCGACCCCCGTGACCCAAAATGGAAGAAGCGGGTAAAGATGATGGATGGATGGATGGATTTTAGTAAGTAAGTAAGTAAAACTTTTTTTATATCGCGCTTCTCAAGATAAAAATCACAAAACGCTTCAACAAATCAGATAAACAAAAGCAAAAAACAAATTCAGGCAAAAGCAGATTTAAAAAGATAAGTTTTTAGCTGACCTTTAAAAGACCTTAAAAATTTTATGTATAAAAAAATAATGTTTTTTTTTTTATCAGTGAAGATTAATAATAAATAAACGGTGCCGGTT